GTCTCATTTCTATGTCAACTATGAAGATCAAACACACACTTGAAGTTGAGGTAAACAAACTCAACCAATACCAATCTCTGATGCACTGATCATTTCCGTCAAACGACGTGCCAAAGGAGGGAATCGGAGCGAGCACACACGGAACTAGGGGGGCGCTTCGTCCTCGCCGACGAGGACGGTAATTCGGTGTGGAGTGCGATTGTTTTGCGGTCCGGTTGTTTTGTAAAATGGGGGAATGATAGGGCCGTCGGGGATAATCATTCCGCCTATTACGGTCAATTCTTTATATATCTACAAGTAAAGGTTACAAAACTATTGCATATGAACTAAGTGTAATGCAGTCATAATTTTTATGTTAACGAGATTTATTTGTCTATATTGACAATGTAATGATTTACCTTCTATGTAGATAAAAGGGCAGAAGTCTCAACTTCAGATTTTTCCAGACCTGTCTAATAAAATGTGGTAAGTTATGTTGCATGGGAGAGCTCACGGCAGAATGCCACCATTGTGGGCGCCCTGAGGACACTTTTCGGCACACGGTCGAAGAATGCCCAGCGTGGGTGTAGTCATGACCTGGTGGCAGCAGTAGGCAGCGACCTTCCCTCCCGACCTTAGTGCGAGCTATGGTCGACATACTGCGAAACAGTAATGTCGCAGAAGAAAGATTGAGGATACTCGACTACGAAGGTGATTAAAATTTAATGGTTTTTGTCACAAAGATTTGCAGTCTTATTCTATTCGAATCTTACAATGCCATATCGAATACAGATGACAAAATGTACCTACGGAAAAATAATGTAATCGGTTAACCTTTAAAGTATTGTTAACAATGAAAAAAACATCCATTGTAATAGACCTTGTAACCAAAAGACGCCAAAAATGTAAGTAAACTTTTTACCTTATGTTTTTCGATCATTGTAAATTTGACGATTGACCCATTTTTTTTATAATATCAAGTGACGGGACGAACAAGTCGTGCATCTAATGGTAAGCTACACGCCTGTTCATAACAGTTGCAGTGCCACGCAGAGCTTTAAATCGCAAAGGTCTGAGGGGCATTGCCTCTGCGCCCGTCAACCTGAGACATAAGTTGACAAGTGCCATGTGCCTGTAATTTCACCAGCACCATTACCGCTCAAAACCGGAACATAATGCTGACATTACTGTTTGGCGGCAGAAACAGTCAAGATGGCGGTACTACCCTGGACAAACCTCTTTCACAAGGAACTCTTTCACCCATTTGATAATAAAATCAATGGTTTGCACTGTGGGCGCTAGGACTAGGTCGCGGTAGGACTTAATTTGAAAAGTGAACTTTACTAAATTATTTCTGGTCTGGGTGTTCTGGATAGTGCCCCCTTTATCGTTTGCAGGGTGATGTGTTTCGATGTTTGAAAAAAATATTGTAAATGATAACTGTCTAGGTACAATTGTTTATTCTTCGTCGTCTTTGTTCGTATTCACCTATCTTCACATAGTCACAAATCCATTTAAGGAGCAATGTATACGCTTCTATACTTCCGGACACTTAATTCGAGCCACCTCGCATTTTTGTCTTTATCGTTGAAGAAAAAGTTTCCCCCTAATTTTCTAAATCCAAATTCCCAACAAGGATTTATGGAAAACACTTTAGTATACTAGTTTCAAAATTGCTTAATAGTTTTTGATCAATCAAACATTGTTTAGGCATTTAATACTGAAAATGCGAGGTGGTTCGAATTATGTGTCCGGGAATGTATAATAAGATTCCGGTTGACATTCAAAAGTTGCCATTTACAAGGTTTAAAAGGACTAGAATAGAGAAAGGAATGTTGAGGTGGTTTGGGCATGGATACGGATGGATGTAAGAAGCGGATGAATGTACCAAACACATTTATGATGCGAAAGTGGATGGAAGGCTTTTAAGAGGATGCCCCAGGAGGACTTACATTGACCAGATTAGTGATGTCGTCAAAAAGGCTGGGATCCGAAGTGACAAGAATAAAAGAAGTTGTATGGAAAGGGTACTTGTGAATGTGAGGCTCGAGAGTTGTGTCAGGATAACGTGGTGTCCTCCTCCTATGGGACTAGGGCGTGAGCTTTAAAACAATAGTGAAAAGAATTTTACACTAAAGGTTATTTCTTATACAGCTTCTGCGTACTTGGATAACAACAATCCGTGGTAGTGACCCTAAACTCTTGCAGTCTCGATCTATGATGTCTAAAGTACATAATGTATCTAAATGATAACTCTGTATCTACATTTTTTTTTGTGATACTGACGGGATGAATAAGTCACGCGCCTGGTGGTAAGCGACCTGCCTGTCCATAACAGTTGCAGTGCCAGTCAGACCTTTAAATAGCAAAGATCAGAGGAGTACTGCCACTGCGCCAGTCACCCTGAGACATAAGTTGACAAGTTCCATGTGCCTGTAACTTCACCACCTCACCTCACAAAGATTAGACATTAAACATATTTTTAATTGTGTGAAAACCATAATTAGGCTAATGTCGAGACTTTCTGTCAAAATAGATATTATCTTGCTCGTGCGCGATAACTGCGTGGTCAGTTGTAGTTGGAATAACACGAAATCGTTATCCGAGTGATTTACTATAAAATACATAACCTCAGTACAGAGTGCTAAAAAACCGACCTCAAAAGTTCGTGGAACTACATCTATTTATTGAAATCTGTAACAGGAAAGTGCACGAAACCGAATTCATTCCTAGTTTGCCACTATGGCTAGATTTCTAAATCTAGCCATATGTCATTTGTGTACGCCGTGAGAATAGTTTTTATACTCTGATGGACCATGCCGTGTATAGAGCATACCATGTTAATGCAGGCGTGGAGAGAGGCAGAACTTGGCGTACATATCTCGATCAGATTGGGAATGTTTTTAAGGCCGGGTTAAAAGTACAAAAGAACAAACAGGCATGTATGAAGAGGCTGATGGGATTGGAGGAGAAGAAGGTTTTTCGGGATCGTAGCAAATGGATGTCCATGTGGAAGACAGACGTGATGATATGTATGCATATAATAGCAATACCTTGCGCTGAAGGCGAGAAACCATCATGATGAAATCTGCATAGTCGAAAAAGATTGACAACCCTTGCAACACGTGTGAAATTACCATCCCGCATTTGATAAGTGTAGCGGACTATAGCCTATACTCTATATTTTACCTATACTTCGTTTCAATCCTATATTTCGTTTGCAATAAAATGTAAACAAACAAGGCACTGACCCGACCATAGACTGTTTAGTGATGGTCAATTGTAATGCCAAACTACAAATCGATTAATTAATTGAATGAATCGACGTGTTTAACTGAGTCATACTAGTGGTTTTCCCACACAACCTATATAAGCATTTTTGAAATTTCCGAAATCTTAACTTTAAGCCCTCCTTCAAATCCTTACACTAGAAACTCGTTCGACTGCAATTGAAATATTCGATTTACTAATCCTTTACCGAATGTTTTTTTCGTACAGCACTATGCAACCATAGACGAGTCATAGATGTATAGATGAAAAATAACCGCACTTATTCGATTTATTGAGTGATAACCTTAGAATTTTAACCAAACAGTTTTGTTTACTTTTTGCTGAAAATGGATTGGAACTACTACTATATTTTAGTAGCAGTAGATGAAAGAATTCGTCCAGGGAAATACTGCCAGCTTACCTATTTCTGCCGCCAAGCAGTAATGTCAGCATTACTGTGTTTCGGTTTTGAAGGGTAAGGGTGTTGGTGATATTACAGGCACATGGGACTTGTCAACTTATGACTCAGGGTGACAGGCGCAGTGGCAGTGCCCCTCAGATCTTCGCGATTTAAAGCTCTGAGAGGCACTGCAACTGTTACGGACACGCGTGTAGCTTACCATCAGGCGCACGACTTGTTTGCCAATCAACCAAAGCCATTTGGGATTGTATAGACTCTTAATTAAAAGTGACAGTGTAAACGTATACAAGCTCCGCATTCATTAACAAACACGTAGACTTTGACAAACACGGTTAGTCAACACATTAACTACTTTTTATCTAACGTCAAAAATATCGCATGATATGTCGTCTAACATAAGCATTCCTACCAAACACGTTAGGTAACATAATTAATGTAGTCCCTTGTAACATCAATAGGAGTAAGTTACAATTTCAACGAAAGCGATTTTCTTATAATAATAATAATATAGTTATTTTTGATACAAGTGCGGAAAGTTAGTCATTATTCACGAGTCTCGAGGCAAGACTCGAGACAAGTGAAAATGACAAATCCGCATGTGTATCAAACAACGTTTTTTAATACATTTGCGAAAAAACCTA